GTGTGTGTGTGTGTGTATGTATGTATATATATAAATATATATATGGAAGTATTGTGTATGTGTGTTGGGGGGGTTCTGTGTGTATGTGAGGGGTGCAGTATGTGTGTGTGTGAGGGTGCGGTGTGTGTGTGAGGGGTGCGGTGTGTGTGAGAGTGCCATGTGTGAGTGATGGGTGTGAGAGTGCCGTGTGTGTGTGATGATGGGTGTGAGAGTGCCGTGTGTGTGTGATGATGGGTGTGAGAGTGCGGTGTGAGAGTGCTGTGTGAGATGGGTGTGTGAGAGAGTGCTCTGTGAGAGTGCTGTGAGAGAGTGCTGTGAGTGTGATGGGTGTGAGGGTGCTGTGAGAGAGTGCTGTGTGTGTGAAAGTGCTGTGTGTGTGAGAGTGCTGTGTGTGTGAGAGTGCTGTGTGTGTGAGTGCTGTGAGAGTGCTGAGAGTGTGATGGGTGTGAGAGTGTTGTGTGAGAGAGTGCTGTGTGTGATGGGTGTGAGAGTGCTGTGTGTGATGGGTGTGAGAGTGCTGTGTGTGATGGGTGAGAGAGTGCTGTGTGAGAGAGTGCTGTGTGTAATGTGTGAGAGAGTGCTGTGTGTGATGGGTGAGAGTGCTGTGTGTGATGGGTGTGAGTGCTGTGTGAGAGAGTGCTGTGTGTGATGGGTGAGAGTGTTGTGTGTGATGGGTGAGAGTGCTGTGTATGATGTGTGTGAGAGTGCTGAGTGTGCTGAGTGCTGAGTGTGCTGAGTGTGCTGAGTGTGAGAGTGCTGAGTGTGAGAGTGCTGTGTATGATGTGTGAGAGAGTGCTGAGTGTGCTGAGTGCTGAGTGTGCTGAGTGCTGAGTGTGCTGAGTGTGAGAGTGCTGAGTGTGAGAGTGCTGTGTATGATGTGTGAGAGAGTGCTGTGTGTGATGGGTGTGAGAGTGCTGTGTGTGATGGGTGTGAGAGTGCTGTATAAATGTTATTGTGTGTGTGTAGGGGGGGGTAAATAAAAAATAAAAAAACAGACATTATGTCCCCCCCTCCCTTCTTACCTTTAGCCTGGGAGGGGGGGGGACCGGCACGCTGGGAATGGCAGGCGGGGTGGCGGTGTTCCCTGGTGGTCCTCGTGGGTGAGTGAACTCTAGCCTGTGAGGCTAGAGTTCACTCTCGCGAGATCCGGTCGTTGCCATGGCAACGCGCCGGATCTCGCGAGAGGAACCCGGCGGAGCTGCAAATTAGAGCTCCGCCGGGTCCTCTCTCCAGCCTGGCTGGCTGTCTCCCTCCCTCCCCGCCGGCGGCCGCATTTGGGCCGGTGATGGAGAGCTTTGATCTCCCCACCGGCCCGTCGTGGCAAACAGCGGGGCCGGCGCAAGGATAGTGCCGGCCCTGCATAGACCGGCAGGGGAGATCCTGGGACCTCCCCTGCCGGCCTCGGCCCATGGCCACAGCGGCCCACCAGGCATTTGCCCGGTGTGCCCGATGGCCAGTCCGGGCCTGGAGACGATCTATGTTCTTTCTGCACATTCTAAGCATAATTACCCACCATTTCTCTTGTTACACATTTCATATGTGATTTTATATTTTGATCACTTAGAATATTATGGGAAGTAATTCCAAAACTACTAATACTCCTTTGAATGGGATTTTGCAATTTAACTGCTTAAATGGACGCTCCACTGCCCACATACAAAATAAATAAAAATCACTGTTTAGTAGATATACCCCAAATGAAAACTTGCATGCAATTTATTGTTTGTTTTTTTTTTCATTGGAGTTATATCTAAAATCAGCTTGCCTTTGCACGCTCTTCCCTTTGAACCCCACCCAGACTTCCTGTGGCTGTCCAATCACAGAATTCCCAATGCAGCTCAATGAGAAAGGCAGGTGCTCTGGGCAATTTCTGCCTCTTGAGGTCAGCTGCTTTGAGCTAAAGAAACCAGGAAGTAAAATTGCCAGTTGTCTGCTTAAAAGCCAGGAGGGTGTAACTAGGTTAATTTATAAAATTGTACATTTCTACTGAAATTTGCGCTTTTTGCAAAATGAAAAGAGGACACACTCTTGAAACTTAAAGCTTTTCAGCAAGCTAAAGTTGTTTATGGGTCTGGGAGTGACCCTTTAACTGTTAGAAACCACCTGATGGTTATTATCTATAAAGACTTGAAATTAACTTAGTGATGTCACAAGATCAGTGAAAAACACAGGGGTATAGGAAAGCTAGAGGGGTCAGTAAGAAAAGTGCTATGCTGAGAGTCAAAAAGGTGTTTAACACACCTACTACTATCTTGGACTGCAATTTATTCATGACTAAAGCCCAAACATGTTATAAATGGATTTGGCAAAGTAGAGGCTAATGGACTTTTATCTGAAGTCAAAAGCCATGTTTCTAATGGGAAGATCATCTTCAAAAAATTTTTTTAGAACTTGTTATAATATACAAGTATCATTATACAGAGCATTGTCAAAACTTATTTGACTGGAAATTTACAGAAAATGTTATAGGTTTGCAAAATAGCAATTCCACAGCCGTACAGAAAGTGACTCATCACACAAGACAGTAAAGCGTCTGGATATGCCTCGAGATACGAAAATCTTTGAAGCGTCAATATCTTTGAGCAGTATAGACATATATTAAATTAATGTATGGTAGGCCATTAAAAAGGTAACAAAAGACAAAAGATCTCCTATTTTTCATAAGGATCAATGCAGCCACTAGAACCTTCAAGTACTTATGCCATTACTATGAAAAGCTGACGGTTTGGTCCAGATGCTTTTATCTTGTAACTGACAGAAGTAACTCTCCAGTAAATTCCACTCTTGAGTAACTTTGTCGTGCCTCTGTTCTAGAGAAAATGACATCTAAAGTAAGACATACACTGATCACTAGTCCACTAATCTAACAGGAAAAAATATTGCATTGAAGAGATAAAATTGTGTTCGCATTGACTATGAAATGGTCCTATGATGGCTACAGTAATTGCATGGTGTGGTGGAACCACATGGTCTTGATGGGGATATCTGCATTCTAATTAGGGATAAAATCTCTACATGTTTTAATTCCACCAGGCATGACTCCAGTGTCATGACCCAATAATATATCATGCTGGATAGATGACCAGTGATTCTTCTTATGAGTCATAAATATAAGCTATAGCTCCCCAAAGGTATTTCTGTTTAGCAGTCTCCATCCATACCTTAAAACTGCTAACCCTGACTTAAGAAGGCAGATCTTGGTCTTGGATTTCTGGCGCAAAGTGCATTATCTCTTGAAACATGTCCTTGTGCCAGAAGATTGAGTGATGTTTATGTAAATCCAGTCTTTTGTCATTGTCATTTGTCTTGTTAGGCATAGTTTTCGTCTGCAATTTTTGTTATATATTGCTAGCATTTTCTCATACTGTACTTTTCGTGGGCAGCTAGTAGCTTGCATGTTTCTGCATACTTTGGACCATGATAGAAGTAACAACGAATGCCCTGGTTTTACTCGTTAGCAAGAATCTTTTTAGTGTTTTAAAATTAAGCATACGTTTGAGTATTCACTTAATATATGCTTCTCAGTGTATTATTTTAACCTGATTTTTTTTTTTTTTAATGCTATTGATTTTCAAAGTCTTAACGTCTAAGCAGCAAAGAATCCCTTTAATGCTATAATGGATTGCTGGTTTTCTGCATTCCCATACACATGTTTGGTTTGATTAAGTAATTCAGTTCATTAAAAATAATGTCAATAACTAATAATCGTGTTTCCATCTCTACCCCTTCTTGTAAAATCTTCCGTATGCGCTTCTGTAACTCCAAAGTTAAATAACACCTATATCTTTTTTATTTTTCTCAATGTATACAAAGCACATTATTAGCCATTGCCTGTCACAATCCAGTCTGTTTTATATTCTTTCTTTATTCACAGTTGGTTTTCAATTCCTGAACTCCTAGGGAACCTAGTGGGAGGGGTCCCTAGCTAACTCTTTCATTGGTTGCCTTGCATAAAAAGTCAGCCAATGACAGAGTTAGTTCTACAAGTCCTATAATGTTCTATGGACATCACTATGATATATTAAATGATCACACAGGTGTATCAACATAACTCACTGTCTCAAATTCCCTGACCACACTTTGATGTAAATGTAAATAGGTAGTTAGGTAGGTAGTTATTCAGGCCATGTGATAAAACCACGTGAACGGTGATTTTGCACAGTGATTTTGGTGACAAGCAATCAAAAGAAGAAGAAAAAATATCCGAATATATATCCGGACAGGAACTTCATTCTAAGATATGAACTCCATGCACTATACATGAATGTAAAGTAGAATTAAACAGCATATGGCAACTCAAGGAGACTATTACAATTCAGCTTTCATTGCAGCTCCCATATGTACCAAACCAGTGCTGACAAACTACACATCAGGCTCAATGAATGAATATAGGAAACACAGGGATTATAATCACAGCTGTCCAACTATATAAAGGTTTACTTCTTAATTCAACATGGAATTATATATAATAGATGTTAAATGCATGTATTATATAATAATATTTACTATCATACAAATAATTTCTACTAAATAATCTGACTCGTGAATGCAGGCTGTGCAAGACATTAAAATAACTGTTCTCTCTGTCTCTACTGAAAGCTCATATATTCACCAGGCTGACCTATATATAATAAATTCCCCAGAAGGGGAACATATTGTAGGAGCTAGGACTGAATTCTATTGTCATTCTTTTATTAGATCTTGGACACAACACTTAGCACACAGACAATGGTCCCCTCTGAGTGGTGTAATGGTAAAATAATGTGTGTTCATGGTACTCAAAGGACAGGAAAAGAAAATTAGGTAATAAAACCTACAAGAATTTAAGTGTACTGAGGAATAACTCGTCTTGTAAATAATATTATTTGTTTGTATTTATTTTAATCAACAAGTAATTTAAAAATC